GCTGGTATCTCATGGAGGCATTTCGTCAGCTGAGACTCTGATGACTTTAGCTTGTGTTAAGTTGACAAACAAAACCAGCCAGTACAGACACTAACGTTTTTGGTGGGTGGGGTTAGGGGCTCAAGACAGGGTTTCTCTGAGTAACAGCTCTGGCTTTGTAAACTAGGCTGGCCTCAAACTTACAGAGATCCTCCTACCTCTGCCTCCCCAAGTGCTGGGATTAAAGGTGTGCTCTACCAAATTGAGAACATGGGAAGAGGGCGGAGGGAGCTACGAGAATGAGAAGGAAAGAAGAGGAAGGATGCAGAGGTCATGAGGGAGCAGAAAGGTTGAGTCAGGTGTAGATTAGAAGAAAGGATATTGGATATGTAGGGTTTTAGTTGGGGGGTGATAGGGGAGGAGGGGAGGTAGAAGGGAACTGGGATTGTCATGTAATTCAATCGTGTTTGTAACTCAAATAAAAAAAAAAATTAAAAAAAAAAAGACAGTTGTGTGACTAGAGAGGTGGCCCAGAAGTTAAGAGTACTGGCTGCTCTTGCATAAGACCCAGCACCCACATGGCGGATCACAACTATCTGAAAAAAAAAAAAAAAGGTAGACTCTCTCAGTCAGACTGGTGCTGAAGACCTGGGAGAACTTGGTTACATCTTAACCCCTGACTCCAGGCGGCCTGACCTTGGCTGCAGCTCCTGAACCAGCCCCACCCTCTCTTTTGCAGCCCAAAACCCACAACTTTACTCTTCCTTGTAGTTAGATTCAGCCTCAACTGCCAGCCCAGGCTCCCCCATGCTGAAGCAGGGCAGACCTCCACTAGGGCAAAGCAAACCCATCAACTCCTCAGAGCTGGGAGAGTGTGCAGCAGTGAGTGTTTGGCTCCTTTTCTGGTGAATTCTTAGGGGATGATGTTACCAGTTAGTTGATAATTGTGAGGCCTGTGTTTGCATGCTTGTCCCAGAACTTGGCTTCCAGCTTCCTGGGAGAAAGGAGTGAAGTCACAAGATGCCAGCGCCTGAGAGCTACCACAGAGGTGCTGGCTTCCCAGTACTGTTCAGTCAGAAACAGATGAAGGCAAGCTGAGAGAGATGCTGTGTCTTCATGAAGGAATGGAGGGGAAGGAGCAGGAAGGTTCGTTTTCCTGAGGTCACGTTTCCCTGTCAGAGCTCAGGCAAAAGTGAAGGAAATGGTCACTGAAAGGACCCAGGGCCTTTAGGAACTGCTGCAATTCGTCATTAGAGAAGGAGCCTGTCTCCGGAGCTGCAACATTTCTGAGGCAGGCTAAAGGGGGAACTTACTTTGGAAACTGTAGAAATATTAATATTTAGAGGAGTCATGACTTTCAACTTACAGGTCCCTTCTCCTGTCCCTGTACTTGTGAGTGGACACATGACAGGCCTTGTATTCTGAAGACCACGTGAGTGATGTGTGTGGCATCTTTGTACGTGTGTGTATGTGTGTTTTATTAGAGGGAGACAGAGACAGAAAGATTGAGTGAGTCACCAGGTTGCCAGAGCCGGCCTGGATCTGGCTGCAACTTCCTGCCTCCAGCTCCTCGGTGCCGGGAATGAAGACGGGCAACGCCATGCCATCTCATTATTACTAATAGTATTTTGCAGTTCACACCCAGAAAGGTGATCCTTCGAGAATGGGCTAGTCTTGTGGGTAATTTGATTCTTATGAGCTCTCCTGTGAGCCTGCAGCCCTTGCCTTGGGGGAGAGCAGTGGCCCTTATAGGCAGGAAACTAAAGCCATGCAAACGGAGTCAGAAGGACTTCACAGGATACAGCAAGGATGGCATGTTATCTCAGCCAAGTTCTCAATGATGAAGGTGGCGTTTGGAAGTGGTAGTGCAAAGAGCCACCCACTCCCAAGTTGATCAGCTTTGTCAATCCTAAAGCCACTTCTTCATTTAGTGATTAAGCAGGCAAGAATTGCCGGGCACTGGTGGCACATGCCTCTAGTCCCAGCACTCGGGGACTAGAGTATTTGAGGCAGTTTTCTCCTTTCTTTGTTGTTTATTAATTTGCATGTATCTCCTGAATTTCATTTCATTCACTGGATTGTTGTTGACTAGTGCTAGCATTTGTGTGTATGTTCTGTCTGAGCTGCCTTCTGTGGCCTAGAGGCAGGGCCATCATTTGCTGATCCTAAACTTGAAGCAATCATCCTGCCTTGGCTTCTCATCACTCTAATTTCTTCTGATGGAAAACGGTACACATCTGGTCTATAGGTGAACAAGTATTTATGCCTCTATTGCTAGATTGGTGTATTGGAAACCATGAGTTATTTCTCATTTCTGTCCAATCCTAAAAGGTATATTTTAGTGTTTGTAACTTTTCACAGCTGTAGATTTTTCTTACTATAGGAAATCTGGCTCACAGCTGGCTACATGATTTGCCCACAGCTGGAAAATGCAAATGCAAGCAGCTCTCGAAGTTCAAGAAAAATGTGTTGCTGATGGTTTAAAACCACGATGCTTTTTCCCTTTGCTGTGGCCTCTTTCCCTGTTTGTGGGTTCTGTTTTTGTTTGCTATTCCATATTGTTTTAAGTGAAGAAGCATTAAGATGTTTCATTATTAGTCTGCCTCTATTATTTTGCAAGACCTGTTTAACATATAAATATAAAACCTTTAACTCAAGCACAGAGTCGCACACTGTAAAACTCTTATTGAGGACCACACACCTGAAATGAGAAGTGGTCTCAGCAGAGCAGTGAAAACACAGCACAGAGTCAGCGATCGTGTTTTTATCTCGATTCTGGATACTCACCCAGTCTACTAACAAGCCCTGCTGTTGATTGTTAATGAGTCTAGATTACTGAAATGAAAAGGAATTATGGCTTCATTTCTCTCGCTCTGTCACATTCCACACAAGTGACTGGCTCATGAACAGAAGTGACATAGGTAAGTCATACCTTCCCTAATGATTTCCTATCTAAAACTCAGCCCGTTTGAGACAATTACATCAACCAAAACCTTTGTTTCATCAAATATATTGTCTAAGTATAATCTAATCATATTCACAGGGTCTTCCTACACTCAAGGGAAGGGACCATACAGTGAACATCATTGGAGGGTCATGGGTTCTGACTTCATCTGTCTTGAGACAAATGTTGCCAACCTTTACCAGTCTACACTGTGCATAGAACACTACAGCATCCAGAGAGCCAGAAGGATGAATTAATACAAAAGCAGACAAGCTACTGAAAAAAAAAAAAAAGAAGTGTAAATGTGTTCAGATGGAGCTGGGCAGTGGTGGTACTGCCTTTAGTCCCAGCACTTGGGAGACAAAAACAGGTGGATCTCTGAGTTCAAGGCCAGTCTGGTCTACAGATTGAGTTCCAGGACAGGCTCCAAAGTTACAGAAAAACCATGTCTTGAAAAAAAAAAAAATCATGCTGGGTGTTGGTGACGCACACCTTTAATCCCAGCACTCGGGAGGCAGAGGCAGGCGGATCTCTGTGAGTTCGAGGCCAGCCTGGTCTCTAGAGCGAGTGCCAGGATAGGCTCCAAAGCTACACAGAGAAACCCTGTCTTGAAAAAAACCAAAAAAAAAAAAAAAAAAAAAGAAGAAGAAGAAGAAAGAAAAAAAATCAGATGATGTCAGGAGATGGTAATTTGGCCACCTTGGTAACAAATGAATGTAATAGTAAATTATCTTTTAAATATCCACACTATATTCTCAGAAAGACTGAGTAGTTAAAGATATTAATAATGATCCAGACATTGCCTGAATAGGGATCCAAAAGCCCATGTTTGCCCAGACCTCAGAATATGACCTTATTTGAAGAAAGGGCCTTTGCCAACAGAATAAGTTACATTAAGATACATTTCCAGTTGTGATGGCACACACCTTTAATGCCAGCACTCAGAATGCAGAGGCAGGCAGATGTCTGTAAGTTTGAGGTCAGTCTGGTCTATGTAGTTCTTGGACGTCAAGGCTACAGAGTGAGACTCTTGTCTCAAAACAACATAATGAAGATGGTGGTGGTGGTCATGATGATGACAATGGCATGCTTGGTGAGAGTGGGTCATGAATCCAATGGCTGATTTGCTTAGAAGAGCATCGTGAGAAGTCAGAGAGATGTCAGTACTTCTGAAGAAGCAACAATAAAGCCAGCAGCCAGAAAAAGTAGGGGGGGTCAATGAGCACAACACCAGAACTTCAAAAGGAAGAACTACCCCTCTGGTAACTTGATGGAGGACCTCGCTAATGAACAAAGCGGTGTCTCCTAATCCCAGAGGCTGTGTGAACTGGTAGGAGACAGAACCAAGGTCAAAGCTGTAAGAAAGAGCTGGTATTCCACAGCAAACGTGCCTTCTATGGGAAACAGCATCTGAAAACCACACATTTGGTTCTTGAGCCCTTCAGCTCCCTAATGGAGTCCCCACTAAGCAATCCCAGAGGAAGCCATCTGACTAGGAACCCTGGAAGTATAGGTATCCACCCACTGTCACCACCATGCACATTGGTGACACAAGGGCAGAACCAGACAGCAAGCAGTAGATGAAGCAGCTCAGCAATCTACCTTGACACTAACTGTGGGGAACAGGATGGGGAGAGCTAGACAAGTTTTCTACCCTGTGGTTACCACTTAGTTTTTGAATGCTTTTCTCTCTTCAAGACATTTGGAGCAAACATGGCCCAATATGAGTATCTTTAATAGGTTTGTAAGAATGAATAGCCAGGTACCCTTTCTGTTCCTCTTCCCAGGTTAATGGCAATAGGATTTTTCATGTCCTATCTTCCCGCTTACCCAGTGATGTCCTTTGTGGATTTCAGACTCTTTCCCCACTAGCACTGACTCTTAGGCATGATGGGGTATTAAAGGCAAGCTTGGGGGGTGATGGCAAGAAGAAAGTGCTAAGAAAGTCACAGGGAAATAGAAGAGGTAAGAAGGCTTGGGAGGATGGAAGCATCAAATTGCCTAGTGCTCTCCCAGAGAGCACCTTCCTTTGAACCTGTTTTAGCCACCTACTACTCAAGGACCTCAAGCAATCAAGTTCTTGGCTTGGCTTTTATTGTTCTATTCTTATGTCCTCCAAAGTTACCAGAGTTCCTGATTTTTGGCAAACATTCGGTCAGATCAAATCAGTGAAAGAAATGCACATTCACTTCTCAGAGTCACACTTCCTTGAACACAGGATTTTAAGTACAGCGTTGCCTAGAGCATGACATCAGGCAGGCTTGGCTCAAATGGCACACCAGAAATGATTGAGGTGTGCATCAGCAAAGAGGGAAGCCTCATCAGGCGAGTTAGCTTCAATACTCCGCATCGTAGGGATATTCTTCCATGTTTACTGTCCTGCAGCGACAAGCATGGAGATAATATTAGTGCCATCTCATAGTATTTTTTAGTCAGGTTCCCATGTACCCTAGCATGGTTCTGAACTCTATGTAGTGGAGAACAACTTTGAACTTGTGATCCTCCTGCAGAGGACTGTGATTAGAGGCATGTGCCACTGGACCAGGTTTTATTTTTTTAATTATTTCTTTTATGTATTGAGATTACAATTTGACCACATCACTTCCCTCTTCCTTTTCCTCCCTCCAAAATCTCCCATACACCATTCTTGATCTCTTAAGTATGTATGTATGTATGTATGTATATTAACAACAATTAATGAAAAAAGACACCATGGATTTAGAAGAACCCTGGTTTTATGTACTACTGGGAATCCAAGTCAAGCATTCATGTATACAGATAAACATGCTCTCAACTGAGCCCCTTTGCCAATCCAGACATTCTTATATGGGCTTCACAAATACTGTTTGAGTTCATTTCATATTACAGAAAAGCCAGAAACCATGATGATATCGGCAGATGGGTTGTTATATTATGGTTGTTGGTATTAAACAAGGTAAGATAAGCCATGAGCTAGGATCTCTGATAAATCCTAAACTTATATTCCATGGATATTTGCTATATTTGGTATTATTCCTACTCTGTAGATAAGGAATCAATTACAAATTTATCCAAAACTTCATAGCTATTGAATGACTGAAGTTTCAATTTTACCCCTGAATGGACCAACCTATTATCTCCACTCACTTATGTAACTATTTCACCCTACCTATTGGAGATCAAAAGGCATCATCACAAACATGTCTCAAGCTAAATCCTTCATTTCTAAAAGACAATTCTGTTCTTGAGTTGCTCATGCTAAAACAATGCCGAGCAAGCAAAACCGTATTTGTCAATTTTTTGGCAAATCCAATCGGCTCTTTTCTATTGGAAGCCAGGTCCAATTATTGTCCTCTCTTCCCTGAATTATTATAGTAGGCAAAATTATTATAGTAGGTTGTCTGTGGTCTCTCAATGCAGAAGTCAGCGTGGAACTTTTCAGACATGTCAGATCCTGCCAGGTTCTGCTCACAGCTTCTCCTGGCTTCCTAGTGCCTTCCATCCTAAAGCCAAAGTCCTCGTGGTCTGTACCACCTGCGTGCCCTTAGCTTTAAGGCTGTCTCTGAGTTTATTTCTTCCCACAATAGCCCTTACTCACCCACTGCAGCTTCACTGGCCTCCTTATTTGAGTGCCCCAAATCCACTATCTCAGGGCCTTTGCTCCCACTGCTGTAATTGCTAAGAAAGGTGTTCTCCTAATACCACATGGCGCTTCCTTTGCTTCTTTCAAATGTGACTTGATCTAGCAGCACAGCTGCCCCTGGATCATCACACATAAAGCTATCCCACCAGGATACTGCTCCCCATACCTTTTACCTAGTTTACTTTTCTCTATGGCATTTGCTACTGCCGGACATATATACTTAGAGTTACTTCAGATGTTGCTAGAATACAAGATTGGGAAACAAAGTTTGTATGGTGTGAGGTGCCAAACACCTGGAACAGGCTGGCACACAGCACATTGCAGAGAAGCCGTTAAGTGAATGAGTGGATGGATAAATGCTTCTGCCTCCTGCAAAGCAACAGTGTTGTGGGATTCTAGCTTAAGATGTGCCACATTCTTTTATGCTATGGAATATTTGTTTGATGAAGCAAAGATGTGTTGCATTCTTTTTTTTTTTTCATTTTTTGGTTTTCCTCTGTGTTAGTCCTGGCTGTCCTGGAACTTGCTTTGTAGACCGGGTTGGCCTGTGTTGCATTCTTTTACATTGCATTTGTTCAACTCTGTAAAACTGTGTTACTTTGCCTGCCTAAAACACCTGATTGGTCTAATAAAGAGTTGAATGGCCAATAGCTAGGAAGGAGGGAGAAATAGGTAGGGCTGTCAGGCAGAGAGAAAAAATAGGGGAAGAAATCTAGGGAAGAGTGAGGGACGAGAAAAAGAGGACAGGAGGACACCAGGGGCCAGCCACACAGTCAGTCACACAGCCAGCCACGGAGTTAGAGGACAGGGGGACACCAGGGGCCAGCCACACAGTCAGTCACACAGCCAGCCACGGAGTTAGAGGATGGGGGACATCAGGGACCAGCCACACAGTCAGTCACACAGCCAGCCACGGAGTTAGAGGACAGGGGGACACCAGGGGCCAGCCACACAGTCAGTCACACAGCCAGCCACGGAGTTAGAGGACAGGGGGACATCAGGGGCCAGCCACGGAGTTAGATGGAAAGAAAGACATACAGAATAAAGAAAGGTAAAACACTCGGAGGCAAAATGTAGTTAAAGAGAAACAGGATAATTTAAGTTAGAAAAGCTGGCTAGAAACAAGTCAAGCTAAGGCCGGGCATTCATAAGTAAGAATAAGCCTCAGTGTATTTATTTGGGATTGGGTGGCAGACCCCCCAAAGAATTAAAACAAAAAAAAACCTACAGAGCAGCATGTTCTTTCTTAAAACGGTGGCTCTATGTGGAAAAACTCATAGAATTAGCAGCAATTAGCAGGTCTGACTTCCCATGACTCAAACTTTACTTTTTCACAACGTCCAGGAAATAATATTTGAATCTAAAGAGTTAAATATAAAAAGTTACCCTGGATGTCTTCCAACCCTTCCAGCTAACCCTCTCCAACCTCAGAAAGCTCATTTAATAACCCCCTCCACTTACTCAGGCAGCAGGCAGGCCCTCCAGTTTCTGTTGAAGCCAAGGATGGTGGCCATCTCCTGATCACTCAACTGGAAGTCAAAGACCTGGAAGGACAAGAGTCCCAAAGCTCCTTAGCAAGACAAGGGCTGGTGCCTGAGACTGCAGGCATTCTTCTCTGTATACCCAAGCTCACAATGCATGAAACCATTTTCTAGTTAAGGCTGAATTATTTACAGGATTCAGTGTCACAAAATCTCAGTTTGTACAGTGTCTAATCCTTCAGGGGACACGTGGCTCCTTCCAGAAAGGCATTTATTCAAGTCCAGTCCATGCCTGTTCTCCAGCTAAAAGGTTGCTGTGTAGGCCAGGGGAAGTCTGCACTTGGGCAGGATAGTCTATGGCCTTTGATCTAAGTGCTCAGGGAAACCAAGGGTCTTCACTGTGCATAAGGCACACCTATGCTCAGAGTTGATTGGGCTTCTCTGGCCCAGCCCTTAGCCCATTTCAGGCTCACTGGCGATTCATCTCAGCTCCCTGGCACCAGAGATCACAAGATGATGAGAAGTTAGGGGCATCACTAATGCTGCAGGATGCGATGAGAAGCCACTGAGAGTCATCCCATACATACATAGCAGGTGGTCAGCCAGGACCTTACCTGAAAGTTCTCATGTATACGTGCTGGTGTCACAGACTTGGGGATCACCACCACATTCCTCTGGATGTGGAATCGAATCAGAACCTGTGCACAAAAGTGAAGGTGTGTGTTTAATAAGAGAAGAGAATGATTGTTAAAATGAGAATGGCTCCACAGGTCTCTGTTAGAAAACTTGTCCCTCAATTAGTGGAATGGTTTGAGAAGGACTGGGCCTGTTCTGGTTGGAGAATGTATGTCACTGAAGGTTTAAGGTTTCAGGACTTCTGTCAGTCCCATTGTGCGCTCGTCTTTTTTGCAGATTGAGACATGAGCCCTTAGCGGCTGCTCCAGCACAGTGTCTGCCCAGCTGCTGCCATGTTCCTTGCCATGAGGGTGATGGGTTCCTATCCCTCTGGAACTGGAAGCTCCACATAAACCTTTTATTCTATGAGTTGCCTTGGTCACGGTATCTTCTCCTAGCCAGAGAAAAGGAACTAACACAAGGACTATCTTTGCAGCTCCTCCCAATGGCTCCTTTATCTCCCTTAATCCTGGGAGCAACGCCATGATTTCCCTAGTTAGGATTGAGGATTTGGCAGGAAGCTGATGAACTTGGGTGGTCCTTATTTGATACGGCCAGCTGTGTTTCCCAGAGAAGCCAATAGACTTACATTTTCCATTTTTTCCTCTCCAAGGGATTAAAAGAAGGCAGTATAAAGAATAAAACAAGACTATTAAAAACAAACAAACAAACAAAAAACAAAAAATGCATGCCTTTAATCCCAGACTCAGGAGGCAGGGGCTGGCAGATCTTGAGTTCAAGGCCAGCCTGGACTACAAAGTGAGTTCTAGGACAGCCAGGGCCACACAGAGAAACCTTGTCTTGAAAGAAAAAAAAAAAAAGGATTGCTGGGTTGAGCAGGAAGAGGCACCATATCTTACCTGGGCCGAGGTTTTCTTGTGCTTTGCAGCAATCTCTTTAATCTTGGGGTCCTCTAGGAGTGAAGGGTCTTCTGGCTTGGCCCTAAAGGCAGATAGATAGCTAGGGTGAATTTATTCCTAATGATACAGAATTAACTTCGTTAGTGTTATATATAGGATGAATACCACACTTCCATGACAGCATCAAGGCTGAGCACCATAGCCTTCTTCAACTGCAGAACAGGCAGAGTAGCCTAGCCACCTGAAAGCTTTGTCTTCCCTGTGGTCCATCCACAGGCTCTGGAACCTCAGAAATTTATAAGCGTGCTCTAGCATTAAATAGCAGACATGGAGCACTCTTAAGAGGTAAGGCACCTTGTCTTTTGTTAAAGCATTGTGCCCGCCCCATAATCCTGTTTGGGTGTGTCTGATATATTGCTATAGACACATTTTTTTCCAGGTGCATAAGAAATTCATAGCAATACTAACCAATGGTTAAAAACTAATTTTAAGAGTGATAAAGTCAGGCTGGAGAGATGGCTCAGAGATTAAGAGCACCGGCTGCTCTTCCGGAGGTCCTGAGTTCGATTCCCAGCAACCACATGGTGGCTCACAACCATCTGTAATGAGATCTGGTGCCCTCTTCTGGTGTGCAGATATACACGGAAGCAGAATGTTGTATACATAATAAATAAATGAAATGTTTTTTTAAAAAAATTAAAATAAAAAAAAAGAGTGATAAAGTCATCAAGCTGAACCCTCACCAAGGCCTATTTGGGGAACCCAGAGGGCTGTAGGCTGTGACAGTGATGCCCTTGGAGTGACAGTACTCGATCAGTTTTTCCTGAGTGAGGTATGGGTGACACTCGACCTGCAAGAGAAAACACCTCTGTCACTTCCATCACTAGACTAGGGAAGTAGGCCTTCCTGAGTGGCTTAGGGGGAACTCTAGGCACAAGAAAAGACCAACACAAAGGCCAAATACAACCCACTGATAGATGTGCTATAGACCAGACCTAGGGTCTGCCTCCCACTGCCCTGCGCATCCTGAACACAGACCTCAGATACGAGACTCATTAGAGCGTATGGAACTTGCTTCCAGGTGTTGAAGCAGTCACAGAGCAGGACCCCCTTTGAAGAACAGAACTTACCTGGTTGGTCACTGGCTTATGTTTCAATCCAGGTTTGTTCAGGATCCTTTCAATCTGGAAGTGGTTGAAGTTGGAGACACCCAGGGCTTTCACTAACCCTTCATCCACCAGTTCTTCCATGACCTGCCCCAGTGAAGAATACCATTTAGATGGCTGTAGGAGGACTACAGAGTGCTGGCTTCTGTTTAGTCCTGACATAAGAGGAATGGATAAACAGTCCTCCAGGTTAAGTAAGCTGCAACACTAGAAAGAAATGTCAGTTCAGAGAGTGTATGCCCGTCAAGGGGCAGACGCTGCTGGGAGTGTATGCTCTCTGCCCTCACCTCACCCAAATCTGCATAACCTGAGAAAAAAGGCTCCCTCGCCCTTTATCCTCCCCCCCCACGTATGTGTGTGTGAGAGAAATAGTCTCCCTTGCTTTTGCCCTTTATCTTTCTCTATGAAAGAGAGAGAGAGAGAGAGAGAGAGAGAGAGAGATATTTTGGGGGCTGATGATGATGCTAGGGCACTCTATTATTTATTGGGTTACGTCTTTAGCCTTTTTTTCTTCATTTTAAAATTTTGAGACATGCTCTAAGTATTAGCCTTGAACTTCCTCTGCAGCCCAGACAGACCTCAAACTTGTGACCCCCTGCCTCTGCCTCCTGAACCTGAATTACAGGCCTGTGTCATCAGAACCAACTTCCTGTCTGGGCTCTGAGCCCACTGCCCCTGCCATGTATTTTGTTTTCCAATGAGGAGATATACAGATTTATCAGACCCTGGTAGGGCACCCAACCTAGGGTTAGGTGGGTCTGACATCTGGCCAGTTGGCAACTTACCACAACCATGACAGTGCATTAACCCTAAGAAAAGGTATTTTTAAAAGTAATGTTTTGCCTAGAATGAACAATTTACAAAGTTGTCAAAATATCATACCTGCTAGTGGCGACCACAAACTCAACATGTACTTATAATTCATTTATTACAAGTTCCTGCCTAAGAGTTTGCAGAGTATGAAAGTCCACAGTGTGCACCTTTCAGTGAGCCAGCAGCCTTCACAATGCAGCTGCTTGGTCTCGTTTGACAGCTGGCATAACCCTGAGCATCAGTGTGGGAAGGAAGGAACCTACATGAGTCCCAGAATAACAGTATAAGTAGAGTTTAAATTGAGCCTGGAAAAAAAAAAAAAAAGCACAAAGGAGGAAAGTCATGAACAGCATGAAAGGAAGTTGTAAGCAAAGACTAACAGAAGAAACTGATATGTTCAGGCCACACTTGTGTACAGTTTCTCAGCCTTGGTGAAACTTGGTACCCTCTAAAAGCTTTTTTAAAAATGTTGCTGCTGGGTGTGGTGGCACACACCTTTATTCCTAGCCTGGAGGCAGGGACAGTGGATCACTGTAAATTCCAGGCCAGCCTGGTCTATATAATGAGGTTCAGGGCAGCCAGAGCTACATAGAGAGACCTTGTCTCAAAAACAAAACAAAACACGAAAGAAAGAAATAAGTTGGAGTAACGTTCCAGCACCATTCCTGAGCTTCTTACTGACTTACTCTAGATTACAGCACAGGAATTAGGATGTTCAAAACTCCCTGGTGAATTTAGTGTACAACGTTGAGAGCCCACCCCCACCGTGAGCCAGGAAGGACCTTGCTAGGCAGGGCTGTTTAGCACTGATGAGACCAGGAGGTTCCTGAACTCCCCAGTGTGGAATGAGATAATTTAAATGTGTTTGTGCCCTAAGTTAACGTTGGCTTGCATATATGATTCACCTTGCCCTCTTCACATTAATTTCTCCTACCCTCTTCTGGATTTCAGTGAGGCTTCTATTGGATTGGTTGTTGTTCCAAAGAACTGCTCCATGCCAGCATGGTTAATCCTGCTGTTCTCTGAGCAGAGCCTGCAGCTTGTCTACTTATGCCCATGTAGCAATAATTATTGGATTCAGTCATAGGACATAACACTAAACAAATCAAGGATACCCTTAGGTATCTGACTACCACAGAATTGCCAGTTAGTTCACTATAAGAACCAGAGCTTGGGGACTGGAGAGATGGCTCAAAGGTTAAAGCACTGACTGCTCTTCCAGAGGTTCTGAGTTCAATTCCCAGCAACCACATGGTGGTTTACAACCGTTTATAATGAGATCTGGTGCCCTCTTCGGGTGTGCAGGAATACATGGAGGTAGAATGTTGTATTCATAATAAATAAATAAGTAAATAGACAAATAAGTAATAAAAGAACCAGAGTTTGGGTAGTGTCCACATCTCACCATGAAGTATTACTAAATTATTTACATGGTCATGTATGACAGCTATCATGTCAAGTTATTACACTCATTTCAGTGCAAAAATTAATGCCAAAATCTTAGGCTGTCTTGGGAGTTTTGCCACACAGACCCCATTATTGTTGATTCTGTACATGTAAAACCATTATATTGCTCATTAATCCATCAATCAAACTAGATGGCTCTTTATTGCTGATGGTCATTTTAGAGGATTTTAATTTTTCCTCTTCCCATCCAGGTCAGAAAGCCTCAAGAAAATCTTTGAGATCTACTACAGAAATATAAACAGATTTTTAAATTTTATTTTCCTACTATGTTGGGAACTGGACCCAAGGCCTTGTGCTTATGAGGTAAGACCTCAACACTTAACTAAATCCACAACTTCTAGATTTCGCCTTAGACTTTCTTATAACCTGCTTTCTGTTGCTAGCAGATGTAATTAGTGATTCACTTGTTGAGAATAATTCCTTTCAAGTATATCTCTAGGTGTTGTGTTAACTTTTCCAGGGTAGACATAAACTCTCTTCAGCCCAGATGGGATGCCAACAGCAGACCAAATGACCCAAGTCCTTTGGGTTTACCACCTGAATCTAAGCTGGTAAAACAACTAACCTAACTGGGTTTCTCCCAGGACCAAGAATGAGGAGCTACCTATAGAAGCAGGGACAACTTTGGGGCTGCTACGCCGCCAAGGAAAATATCTTCTTAGCAACCATTAACCTCTTACATAGCCACATGCAAGAGGGGGGCCCTGTGTGCTGACTCTTAAGCTGCCCCTGAGACCCTTGTTGATCTTCCTCCCAACCCTCATAAACCTTCTTTCTACCCCAATTCCACAAGGGAATGTTAGTAGGTCCAGTCTTGTGAGGGTCTCATGTTATATTACAAGAAAGCATTAGCCGGGCGATGGCCAGAGCACAGCATTCCACAACACTAGGGCTGCCAGCCTTGCCATTAGAAAACAATGGCTGCTCTGATTCCTTCTCTTTTCCTTCCGACATCACACACTTTGTTCTCAATATTTTCATGCTACCTCCAGCTAAAGGTCCAAGTGGCAACAACACTGTGCTGGTGGCTAAACACTTTTGGATAGAATAACCACAAAAGACATCCACTGAATGTCATTATATCAGTTCCCTCCTCTTGGGAAAACCAGTGGAAGTCATTTCGAAGTAGAGAGACACACCATGAATTCAGGGCTGCTGGACAGGCTGTCTTGGAATCTCTATCAATGCTTGTTTATGACTGGCTTGCTCACTTTTTCCTCTGATGACATTTACAAAAGGATACAGTGGCAAAAAGATTTTTTAGAGAAAAGCATCCATGGCCTGTTTAGTTTTTGAACATCCTTATGCATATCAAGCTCTGGTCTGGGTTCTCCAAAGGAACACAGCTGATAGAGTGAATTGTTTGGTTTTAAAAAAATCAAGGTGCTTATTCTTTTCCTGATGCTTAGATATATGGCCACTGTTTGCCAAGCACTGTGCTATAAAGGTTTTGGTAACTGGACTTTTGAGTCAGATAGAACTGAATCTAACCTTAATCATGTCACACCCCTGTTATATAACTTGATGACGTCCCAATTCTCCAGGTTATTGGTTTCATCATTTGTACGTAGGGAAAGCAACTGTCCCTCACAGGATTGGTAACTAATGTGCCATGATGAAGTTTGGCGTGTTAGCTCTCTTCATCCTTATCACACCCTGAAGGATAGAGATCAGTAGACTGTATTACATGAGTGTGAGCATGCTTATGTGTGTGTGCCTGCGTGTGTGCAGGAACACATGCCATGCATGGCAAGTATGCCAAGGTCAAAGGGCAGCCTGGGCTGTTGTTCCTCAACTTTCACCATCTGTGAGACAGGGTCTCTTTGATTTTTCATCTCTGTGTATATCACACTAGCTGGCTGGAGATCTGGGGACTCTCCTGTCTCTCTCCCATCCTACCACATGAGCACAGGAATTACAGACATGTGCTTCCACACTTGGCTTTGTGTGGGATCTGGATTCTTCTGCACGTGCAGCAAGCACTGTGCCACTGAGCCTTTTCACAAAAAAGCAGATATATAAGTGTAAACTGGCTTGAAGGCTTTCGATCTTTTCCCTAGGCTAGCTGGGTATGGTGGTGTATGTTTTTAATCCGAGCACTGGAAGGCGGAGGTAGGCAGATGTCAATCGAGTTCTAGGACACTGAGGGCTGCACAGAAAAATCCTGTGTTAAACCCAAAATTAATAATAATAATAACAACAATAATAATTTTCCCTGAGCTACTCAGCTAATATGTGCAAATCAAGGCAATATCCCTGTACCAAGTACCTGCCTTTACTTTCAAAACAGCATATGTTTACCACAAACTGAGGAACATTTGTATTTCCTGTCTCCATTGAGATCCCAATAGTCACCTCAAAAGCAAATGATTTAATCCCAAAACCTGAGAGGCAGAAGCCAATGGAACTCTGTAAGTACTAGGCTAGCCAGGGATAAACTGTAGGATTATCAAAAAAAAAAAAAAAAAAAAAAAAAAAGTAGATAACACCAGATGAACCCTAAACCTAAACATGGTAAGGAAGGAGTAAGAGATCTAGAAAAACAGGGACAGAATTACACACAAGACATGTGGGCCATTTCATATCATACAACAAAATCTCTGATGCACAGTAGAAGCTGGGAACCTACCTCCCAGGCATCCAAGAACGTTATTTTGCTGGTGAGGACGTTGCCTTGATCGTCTTTGGGAAATAACTCCTTTCCGGGCTGTAAATACAGAACAAAATGCTCTTTGACTGCACCTGGTCCTATGAAGCAAGGCTCCAGGACAGTGAAATACCAAATCCCCACACCTGCTCAGCACTTGGTTAGGCTCCAGAGGGCACACTTGCAGACATCAAGCTTCGGCAGCATCTCCATCACAACCTACTGTGGTAGGTAAATCCTAAACTACAGAAACTGCGGGGCTGGTTCCCAAATGTGCTACTCTATGTCAAAGGCTCGATGAGGAATTTCCATCGCCATGGAAACGAGCGCAGTATACCTGGCCCCACATAGACCTGGAGGAAATTCTGATTTCAGGGTCACTAAGGCGAGGGCTAGATCTGAGTGGTAGAGTTTGCTGAAGACTGTAACCAGATCCTGTCCTTGACTCCTCCAGAAGTCCAGAGCTTCGACGGTTACCATCATCCCAGCTGTGCACGAAGGGGGCAGCATACTGGGCATTCACATCTCTTCATCCTCTCAGCAGCAAGCGGAAGCAGGGCTCCAGGCACTGAGCAGTGGGTCTTTTTGGTTTTTGTTGTTTTGGTTTGGGTTGTTTTTTGGTTTTGGGGTTTTGGTTTGTCTTTTTAGCCAGGATTTAATACTTCCCAACATCATCCCACTTGGGCTTTGCTCCAGCACGATTTGCTTGGCAAAGGTGTTGAACCCTGAAGATCAATATGCAAGAATAGCCCAACACGTCTTTTGAAAGGGTATCACTGAACGTGGAATCAACACAAAGTTGACAGGCTTTCTCCTCTGCGCCGTCCCCCCACCCCCGCCCCCACCACAGCCCTGTCTTGGTGGCTCTTGAAGGTACAGAGAGCAGTTCAAACCTGAAGTCCCTGTGGCCAGTGAATAAGATACAGGTCCAGATAGTCCAGTTTCAGGTCCGTGAGGGTCTTCTGAAAGGCCTCCTTTAGCAGTTTCCTCTCAAAGCAGGTGGGCCACAACTGCCGAGTGCAACAAGGAAACATTAGGAACTGGAGAAAAGGGGCCACACTAAGCTCACCCTCCCTGCTCTGCCATTTGCAGTCTAACCTATCCCCAGGACAGCTATTTATATTTAACCAAATTGGCTAATTAACACACATGATCTGATATTTGAGGTTCCTGGGGCTCATGAGTCACTTATTTCCTAAGTGTTGAGGGTGATTATTTTTCCAGGCTTACAGCATTCTGGGTGCTTCCTAGATCACGCAGCATTCTGACGCTATTGGGGTATAGTGTCATACCTCCAAGACACCAGACCCTAATGGTGAACCCCAAACAGTTTAAGTGGCCTGCCACACTGTACAGTAAGTCTGTTTATCATATCAGATGCCGTTTCCAAGTGGTTAGCGGAGTAACTATCCCAGCTAGCTATACCCAATCAACAACCTCACACTCCTCTCTCCTTTTTTTTAACAGCATTTTATAATTCACCCTTCACTGAATTGAGATTAAAAAAAAAAAAGATATCCCTAAATAACAATTCTAAACAATTAAAAAAAAAAAAAAAAAAACCCCAAAAAAAAAAATCAAAAAAAAAAAAAAAAAAAAAAAAAAAAAAAACCTCTCTCTGCATAGCCACTGAGAACACAGTACTGAGTGGTGTGGTTCAGGGCCCATCCCTTTTAAAAAAGAATTATTTTATTTATTATTTATGTGCATTTTTGTATGTACACATGGATGTGAATGGGTGCCTGTAGGAGCCAGAAGGGGTTTGGGCTTCTTTGGAGCTTGAGTTACAGGAGTTGTAGGTCGCCTAATGTTGGTGCTGGGGATCAAATTATGGTCCTCTGAAGGAGCAACACACACTTTTAACCCCAATGCCATCTCTAGCCCCAAGACCTTTGATGGTGCCCCTAGCTTCTGACTCGGTAGAAGGATCCCACTGACAGAAAGCATGACAGTGAGGAGCACTGGAGCCTCAACAGAACCCTCTTGTTATGGGAAAGCCAACAAGGAGGGTGGGCCAACAGCAGACCCTTATCAGTACTGACTTGGAGTGTGGCTATTCACACCCACAGATATAACAAAACCAAGGAAAGAGGTTAGGAGAATGATGGGCAGGGCTGTTGGTGTGGACCAAATTATTCCAATGGCTTTGAAGTCCTATCCACCCAGCGGGCCATTGTACCTTGCTGACGATGAAGAGGTCTTCCCGTCTCACAGCCTTCTCTTTGATCTTCTCTTGAATGGCCTCTCCCACTTCGTGCTCATTGTAATACGCATAGGCGCAGTCAATGTGGCGGTATCCAGCATCAATGGCCACCTTCACAGCTTCCTTGACTTGGCCTGGGGGAGACTGAAAAGCAACAGAAAAGGCCATTGGATGCTCTTATGCCAAGACCTTCCTCAACAGGCTCCACACAGCCCAGCTTCTGAAAACCACAGCATTGCTGGAGGACACTGGGGGAGAAAACAAACTTTCAAAGGGGAAGTGAAAGTGAACCCTAATGTTCACCCCCACCCCATGTTCTCTCTTAGCTAAGAGTCAGTTCCCACCAAATACACAGGATTTTAAAGGATCTCTTGTTTCTGAGGTGACAGGTGGCTCTCACTGCAACTTGCTTAAAGCCAAACTCAACTCTGAAGTGACCCAGAAGAATTTCAGCCCGAGACCATGTTAATTAAGAACGTGGAGAATGGAGCCCCTTCCCTATGAAGGGATACTATTGCAGCCCAGATACAGCAAGGAGGGCCTAGGATGGATATGTAAATATGAGTAGTAATTAAAGAATTTAAATTTAAAAAATGAATATGGAGATTGGCCGTTGTATGATACCTTCAGACTCTGCCACACAGCAGTGTAAATGGATGAAATGCAATAAGCTGGAAAGAAAGAAAGAAAGAAAGAAAGAAAGAAAGAAAGAAAGAAAGAAAAGAGGGAAGAAAGCCACTGTGTGTGGCAGCCCATGTGTGTAATCTAAGCATTTGGGAAATAAGAGGCAGGGGGATTATGAGTTTGAAGCCAGCCTGGGGTACATAGTTGCCCCCCAAATAAAGCATAGATATAAAAAAAGCCCTCAGTCAACCAAAGAAGATGAAACCAAACAACAACTAAAAAAGACTCTTCTTTCTCACCAACCCTAGAAATGTCTTGGTTAAGTATCAAACCTAGAAAAACACCACAGAGATATATATGCTCTGCTTCTCTGGGACAAGAAATGGCTTCTCCCAGTTCAGAAGTACCTGGGCGTGCTCCATTCTGTACCTGCCTGATTCTGTACCTGCCTGAGTTTCTACAGATAAGAGCAGGCTTGTGTTAATACTACCTCCTTATCTTGAAAACAACTCCCTTGTCCAGCTCTGTCTAATTTTGAATTTCTGAGAGTAACTTCAGGTAAGAACACTTGTCAGCTTGGTAGAAAGTGAAATTTCTATTATGTAGCAAATTCAAGTAGGATTTCAACCCAGTGCTGAAACAAAGAGGTGTGCTAACCCTGTCCCACAGCAGATTAAAGGACAGTGTAAAGAGTAAGGGACAGAGGCAGTGGCTAAGCCACCAGACCAGAAGACATGGGCTCCAAAAACAGCTCCTGGAGGTGACTCACACCTGTAACAATTCCTGAAGGCTGAGGCAGGAGGATTGCAAGTTTAAGACCAGCTTAAACTGCAAGGTTAGTTCTAGAGCAACTTAAATTCCCTGTCTCCAGAAATCAATTAGAGAACTCCTGGAAACAAGCTAGCCACTGTCATGGTACCACCAAGGGAAACGCAAATGCAGAGTTAGGCGATTGTACAATGTCAGGCTTGTCTCAACAGAGACTGGGAAATATGCTTCGCTGGAAAGTGGGATGGGCCTGGGGGCATTCCACCAGGAGAGTAAGACTGCCAGGCAGGACCCAAGCCCAGGCTCTGCGGTCTTCGTGCTTAGAGTTAATGTACACTGGAACCAGGTGGAGTCTTGGTAAGGGGCAGGGGAGAGTTCAGTAGCCTGGGCTGGGGTCTGAGACTCTGCCTGTCACACAAGGTCCAGGCCAGACGCTGCAGATGGAGTCCTTCCCCGTGGGCAGCACGGAGAGCTCGGTCATTTGGAGCTCAGTGTCCTGCTTTTGAATGACTCAGCAAGGAAAAAAAAAACCCAAAAGACAGTCAAGACCTATAAAACACTGGGTGTCTCCTAAGTGCAAAGCTTGCTAGGAGAGTAACTGCCTGGAGCCTTTTGTTCTTAAAGTTCAGGGACCGCTTGAGACCTGGCATTATTAGAGAAGTTAACATCACAGCTGGGAAAAGCCTGTCAAAGCTTTGAGCCTGAAGCAGTGCAAAAAGCGCCAAAGCAGCTCGGGTCCTGGCTCTAGGATTCCAAACCTCAGCTGATGCTGTGGAAAGAGAAGGAAATGCCAGAGACCTTCCTCCAAGGCAGCAGGTCTCCCAAGACGCCACACTCACCTGCCAGGTGCCCAGGCCCACGATGGGCATCTTGGCTTTGGTACTGAGCTCCACGAAAGTGGACATGGTTGCTGCCAAAACCTTCCTGAGAGAGCAGATGTCCGTGTGCTGGTTAAGGAGGCTGGTGGAGGCTTTATGTCCTGGATGAAGAGGCGGGCGGGCTCTTACTGCATGAGCAAGCAGCCACACCCAGGGAGTCACTGAACAGGAAGTTTATCCTGGTCCTTCGTAAGATGGAACAGAGTGAATGAAGATTAATCATAACCCGGTGGGAAGTGTGCCTGCTGCAGGGTGAATTACTTTGGGAGTGTTACTTAGAGGTTTCTGAACCTAATAACAAGGGGTGAAAGGTCCTTCAAGATACGCTACATTTTGGGGACTGAACATTGCAAGGAGAATAGTGAACCTCGGAGGTATTGCGATAGGTCAAAGCATGTAGAAGTTTTCAGAGGCAAAATGAGGAGGCTACATAAATTATTTTGAGACAACTGTTGGCGATTACAAAAATCAACAACATAACTGCTGGTGTGAAATTAAAAAGACAGATGGGCAGGTGTTGTTGCAGGAGGGAGAGAGAGAGGCAGGAGGCAGGGAAGGAGCTTGGAGCAAGACTATAATGTTTTGGAAGTGTTTGTTTTCTGTCTTTTTTTTTTTTTAAGTTTTACTCATCTCACTGCTGGAATATTGTGAAAAACAATTTTGCCCTGTTAAACACCAGGTCAGGATCCTTTCTTTGGTAATATTCTTCCTCTCTTTCATTTGAGATTTGACCAGTTATATTTATAATGAACTTTTAAACTCTGTGATGACATTAAAAAACATAGACTTTTGTGATTATAAATATTAGATATCACTAAGGAAAATGTGGAAAAGAAAGACAATTATAAGATGGGGGCATAAAGCACCTTATTCCGGTCACTCCAGATGTCCCTGCCCAGTGCCATTTCCTCAGATCTGTATTAGTTTTTATGCCCGGCACTCCCACTTTCCAAGTTGACACCATAAGACAAGCTTTCCTACACATTTAGTGTAAATCATTTTAAAAGTGCTTTTATGCCAAACATTTTAATAATGTACTCTATCGTGTGATCAATTACTCAGCTATTTCCACTATTCTTGGAAATCTGCTTGATTTCCAACTGGTTTCTATTATGTATAAATAAATAATATTCAAGGTCTATCATTGCAGTGAGGCATTGAGCACAGTGGCCTTGGGATAGATCTTTAGAAGTAGGAATATACACTCACAGGAAATTTAGTTTAGTTTATCTTGTGAGGTCTGGGTCCAAATTGATATTTACTTTCTAAATGGGAAATTTCTCTTCTGCCATTTATAGCATAATACGTATTATTATCTCACCTCCATATTTATAATTCTCCAGAAATCATGTACAAATGTTCTTGACTTTTCCTTTGTTGATATTATGAAACTTTGAATGCATGCCATCTATAAAAAGGAAAAAGAATATCAGAGCAAACAAAGACTTTGCAGGACTTGTAAGAGAAGAAAAGTTGCTCATATCTCAAGTTTAGAGATAATTGTCATGAATAACATTGGGGTGTAACTGGAATGCCCAGCTGATTTGAAAAGTCCCAGGTCATAAAAACACTGTACCCCATTTACCAACGTGAACCTAGGGCAAAAATGTCAAGCCCAGGATTGAAGCCCTGACCCCAACAATGCCCACGGTAACAGTGGCAGATAGCCCAGTCTACCTGAGGCAGCTTCAGTGTATCCTCAGAACAGCATAGAGAGGAGCTCCATTGTCTGTGGAAGTTGACTGAGAGGGGACACAGCCCACTTCACAGTCTGCATTGTTAAGGTTGCAGTGTGTATACAGCTTAACATATTCAAGAGAGACAGAGCCAAGGTTGAGGCTCTATGTCTAAGAATTTGATGGTGGTATGAATATCTTAGTAAGGCTGACTATATCTGAGGACCCAAAAAATTAATCAATAGGATGACAAACTTTAGGTAAGTATCACAGACAAGCCCAACTCACATTGTGACATTTTCTAACGTTTCCCTATCCTATTGAAATCCCATTGAGACCCGGAGAAAGAAAATCCTAAACATAGCATTTAATCCATATATAAAGGGAAGCAAAAATGAAATACAAGTGTCAACAGTAAACTAAATTGAAGAAGCTACATTTATTTATTCTAAAGATGCCACAGGCTCTTTGATGTTGGCTAATTAAAACATTGTAGGTGACGGAATGTTGTAGTTCCTTGGGCTATCTATTGTCATCTTTATAGTCAACTTCTTCATCTGACCTAACATCCTGACTTCTAGATAAAATTCCAGGTATCTCAAAGCTTGATACACCTTTAGCATCCAACCATCAACCTCAGAACAGACAAAGCAGCCACATGGTTCTCACACAGAAGAGAGCTCCCTGCCTTGTTGTAGTACACACACACACACACACACACACACACACACACACACACACACGATGCTTCTGCCAGTATCACTGCCAGTATCACTGTCTGGTGGTTTGCTTCTTGGCCTCTCCTCTTTCTCCTTCCCCTTTTCTTCTTTCCTTTCTCTGGCAGCTACAGCTGGCCTCAAACTTGTTACTTAGCTGAGGATGACCTTGATCTCTGGATCCTCCTGCCTCTACCTTCTGAGTACTAGAATTACAGGAGTGGATCGCAGAAGCTTCTGTTTCCTGTCCTCCTAATTTCCAGTGAGTTCCAGTGGTGAAAGATCATCTTGCACCCACATTGGGCAGCTCATAACCACCTGTAACTCGAGTTCCAGGGGATCCAGCATGTTCTCCAGCCTCGTTGGGCATCTTCATTGGTGTACACATATCCATACACGCACATGTAATTACAAAGCGATAAATGTAAGCCTTTCAAACTGCCGTTCCATAACATAACCATGTGCTCTCAGGGGACCTCTGTCCTGTTGGCACTCTTGGGGCTTGATGCTCATTTCTGTTTCCCAGGTTTATCATTCCATTGTCACAGGCACCATAGTTTGCTTATCCATTTTCTTCTAGAAGGGCATAGAGGTTTCATCCCTGTTAATTGTTCTGTTGGCTCACTGTGAGTCAGCAATTTAACCAGAGATGACTCTAGGAAGGCTAGCTAATGTAAACAGCTAATGTAAACAGAACTTGGTCCCTGGGGGAAGGAAAACAAGAAGGACTTTATGGCCTCTTGAGTGTTCCCAGAGAACAGGGGACAGCACAGTCTCAGTTGTGAAGACTACCAATCTGGATTCAGTTCAAGTGGCATTGGAACAGTTCGGACCTGACTGGAGCGGGCTATAACAGTGACCCAAGGAAAATGACTTAGGTTTTCTCGTGATGGACCATCATTTTGGATTTACACAGCAAGGCATTTCTATATGTGGTGTGATGTGTGTGTGTGTGTGTGTGTGTGTGTGTGTGTGTGTGTGTGTGTGTGTGTGTGTGTGTTAGTTTCGTTTGCTTTTTAAGATTTTATTTATTTATTTAATGTGTATGGATGTTTTGCCTGCATGTATGTCTGTGCACCACATGCATGCCTGGTGTCCTTGGATCCCCTGAAACTGGGGTTACTGATAGTTGTGAGCCACCATGGGAATCAAGCCTAGGTCCTCTAGATGAGCAGGCAGTGCTCTTTCCCACTGAGACACCTCTCCAGCCCCACTCCAGATCCACTATATAAAGTTTAATAAAGGCTTGCTTAGATACTTTCTAACTTTGTTAATTTACCAATTTACTCCTGGCTTATGCTTAATATTTTTAAAATTTTGTTTATTATTGCTGTGTATGTGTACACGTGTGGGGGACCAAAGTATTTTCACTATGGAATATTTTGAGATCCAGCCTTTGGTTTCACTAAACATGGAGCACCAGAAAACTCTGGCCCACTATTGTATTGTTAATCCCAATAAGGCTACTACTGTTTACCATGGCCTCAGGGTAATATGCCTCTTATTTTGCATCTGTGTGTGCCTAAACATCTGAATAGGCCCTCACCTGGGCAGAGGTGCTAGAGGTGTGGGATGGAAGGTTAGGAGTTAAGGGGCAAGCAGTGAGAGCAGTGAGGGAACAAAGAGAGAAATGGTTGCCTCATGGTATCAGCAGGATGGTTAAGAAACACCAGAAAAGATGGCTAATAAAGAGAGATACACAACATGGAACTGAGAGCTCTCTGAAGATGACAAGATGCCTGTGTTTGATCTTTATAGCCGTTGGGTTGCTGGGAGCTTCCAGGTCCACACACCCCCACTCAGGTCGAACCTCATGGCTGTTGTGGGTTAAAGCTGAGATAAGCCGGGTCACGACAAAATGGCGCCCGAACTTGGGGCCTGAGAACGGGGGAAGAAACCATGGACACCACGAAGAAACGGGCAAGGCAGAGGCTTGGACACTTCGGAGAGATTGTCGTCTCGGGGAACTGGTTGGGGAAGAAGCATGCTCAGGAAAAAGAAGAAAGAAGTGGCCGAATGTGGTGAGTGAACAGCGTTAAGTCAGGAATAAAATTGTGTATAATTGTAGAAATAGGGAACAGATATATGTAATATAAAATAGGAAGATGTCAGCCAGCAGCTGACGAAAAAAGATAAAGCGGTTATTTAACCCTTAAAGTAATAGAAGATGGGCAAATGAGAAAATGTCAGCCAGCAGCTGATGAAAATAGGTAAAGCGGATTATTTAACCCTTAAAGTAAGAGAAAATTCACACAGTAGGTGTGAGACTGAAATGTCAGTCAGATGATAAAGTAGTAAAATGTAATGTGTTAAACTCCGGGATGAAAAATGCAGGTAATTGTAAAAATGAAACAGGAATATTAGCCAGATGGTAAAGAGAAGTAAGTTAACCTTGAAAGTAAAAATGTATATAGTTAGAGAAATCAGGCAGGTAATTGTTAGTCAGATGATTGTATATTAACTTGGGTATAGTTTAATAGCCAGGAGAACTAAAACAAAGTGAAAGCAAGTAACAGGAGATTTTAGAGTTTAAAAGTTTTAAAAGGATCCTTCTGGCTTGCAAAAGCCACCGCCATGATGCAGCATTTCCAGTTGCTCAGGGGCTTGGGAAGACATAGGTGTGGCCTCGAAGACACGCAGGCCCTTGGGAGATATCCAGGAATGTAATAGACAACAGA